GGGGGGGTGTAAAAGGGAGACCATGTCAAGGAGTCCCTGTAGAAAAAAGAATGGAAACTGATTGTGGTAGCAACTGTATAATTCTGCTTGATGTGCTTGAACTATGGCATGACATATGTATTAAATCCCAATTAATAATACATTTTAATAAATAAAAAAAGAGTAATGAATGGACAAGGGAAATGCACTCCGCATGCACGGCAGCATTGTGGAGTTCCTGAAGTTAGTGGTGTGTATTTAAAGTAATACAAGTCATCCAGTGGTGTATTTTTCTCTAGCCACATGGGGAAAACTGCTAAGGGATAGGGCATATGATAATTTTTATATTTATCTATGTTCTACTTGTTGCTGAGTCGTGTTACATCATTTGATACCATAGTTTCTTTTTCCATTAAACTATTTATGAACATTAAGGTTTTTCCATATTTTGGCCACTGTAAATATGGTAAGAACACGTGTGTACAGTTCTTTATGTGGACATGCGCTTTCATTTACAAAGCAAACAAATAAAAAAAACCAAAGTTGTCATGTTGCTTCTGACTCATCAGATATGTCGGAAAAGAACGTAATGACTAATTTTTTAGGGACATATCTACTCATTTTAATGTGATATCTCTGGATGGACTTGAACCTTCATTCTTTCATTTAGCAGCAAAGGTGCTCATCATTTGGATGAACCTGAGACTATATTTCATTACTTTTCGTATATACTTAGGCAGGATATTTTGCGGCGGTATGACAGAATGTGTTTCATTTTTATTTTTATACTCCCTTATCCAAAAGATCCCTTTGCATTTCTATCACTTGTTTCACAGCTTCATCAACACGTAATTTTCTTGCATTATTGTAGAGGATAGAAACTTTAAAGCAGTGCTCAATAAAATAGTTAAAAGATATCTTGTTCCTATTAGTAGGTATAAATCTTTGAACCATTTACTCTGGAGTGTGATGATAGTTGTAAAAATATTTAGATATGACAAAATAACAATTTATAAATTATCAAGGGCTCATGAGGGAGGGGGGAGTGGGGAGAGAGGGGGAAAATGAGGACCTAATCCCGGCGCCTTAAGTGGAGAGGAAATGTTTTGAGAATGATGAGGGCAATGAATGTACAAATGCGTTTTACACAATGGATGTATGTATGGATTGTGATAAGAGTTGTATGAGACCCTAATAATATACATATATTTAGAAGATATTTTCACCCAATCGGTCTGGTCCAGTTCTATTCCTAATGTGCTGAGGGGTGTGGTCACAACCGAGTGTTGAGTTTTACTTTTCTTGCATAGATTTAAATGACTAAATACATTTCTCACTTTATTTTGTTAACCTAGTAAATTATGCTGATTTATTTCCAGACGTTAATCTAACCGTTTTGCTTCAATAAACTACCGCTTGTCGTGATATATTTTAAGTTGGTGTATAGTACTGGATTTGAAATGCTGCGATTTGGCTCAGGGTTTGGGGTGGGTACTCACGGAGGGTGTCGGTGAGTGGGTTTGTGGAGCTGTCTTTGCCTGATTTGGCTTCAAGGTGATGGTAACTTCATCATTTCATGAATTGAGCTAGGAAGCTTATTAGCACAGGGTTGTCAATCCATAACGTAGGGCTGTAGTGATACCCCTTCTCTGACTTCTTATATTGTTTGTCAATTATAGACTTTTAGTGTGATTTGTGGTTTATTTTGTTGATTTTTCCCTAGGTGATATTTTTTCCAGTGTTTGTAACTCTTATCTGTTGTACTTCCTTCTTTCATTTACCTTGGATTTACTTTGCTCTTAGTTTTCAGTCCTAAAAGGAGAGCTCAGATCATTGGTTTTAGATATTTTTGCTTTTCTAATTTGAGACTTTAAAACTACAACTGTCACTGTGGGCCCTCTTTAGTTGTCATTTACAAGTTTACTTACCTCTCAGTTAAAAATACTTTCTAATTTCACTTGTGCTTTCTTCTTTAGACTGTGGATACTTTAGAACGATGGAGATGTCTTTACATCTTTAGGGTTTCCTAGTGACCTAACAATTCTTGCTTGCTACTTTATTTTTCTGCTCAGAGGCAATGCTTCATAAGTTATCTTTTGCATAGATCTTGTATGAATCTTTTTGTCCATTAACTTTCTTCTCAATGGCCCGGCTTTTGGTGTTTCTTGGAATGCACATTTGTGAATAATGTGCAATTTGCCATTGATGACCATAAATGCCTCAGTAGAGTCAAATTGGTTGATACTGTTATTATTTTTTTGTCTTTTGCTAATTAATTTGTCTAGTTTTTCAAGTTATTGAAGAGAAAGGTTAAAATATTCCATTGTCATTGATTTTTCCTTTTAATTATGTCAATTATTATGCTTCCAGTGTTTTGAAACTCATATACATTTATATGTATGAGAGGGTTTCAAAAATTTCATGGAAAAATCCCATTTTCCATGAATTTCTTGAAGCCCTTCTTTTAATTTTGCTTAAAAAGAAATAATTTTCTTGGCTCTGATTAAATACTAGCATATCCAGTTGAGACAGCTGAGTTCTCTCAGCATTTCATTTTTGACTTTTTGTTCCAAAGCATTAAAAGAAAAGCCAATTTGTCAATGTCCTTTTGTTTGGATCCATGTCTTACAATAACTAAAAGAAATACACAATAGCACAAAGTATCTTAATTTGACCTAGGTTTAAAGATATTAGTTAGTTTGTATCTCAGGGTTTTTTGTCTCCCAGTTGTTTTTATTTGACTTCTTCATTTATAACAAACAGCAAAGCTTCCTCTGTGAATCGTGCATAAAACTTTTTACTTTGGTTCTGTATCTATGTTTTGGAAGTATTTATACAAGCAAATACGCATGTAACTTTTAGTAATTATTTCACTCTACTATTTATTTAAAATATTTAAGATATTGAGTATTTTATTTATTATTATTTAACCTACTCTTCTTCATGTACTTAAGTTAGTTTAGTTATTGCTAAAAGGGAATACAACTGTATTTTAAACAAATACTTTTAAATAATAAACATTAACATATGAATAATTCTGGTCATAATAAAGATTTAATAGTGGGTCACACATTCTATATAATTTATTAAAATACAGAATGAATTTCACTATCTGTACATATCTGCCCTCCTCTGACTTTCCCGTTGCCACTAGGAAGCAGTTAGACAAGCCTTCGTGGTCCATGCTTCTCTGCCTATTTGACACCAACTTATCTTCCCACAATATCCTAGATCTATGCTGCATTTGATTATCTGTTGCACTGGCCACGTAGAACTCACAGATGATACAAGGAAGGGAGTTGATTAGGGATGTTAATAGGCTACCCGAAGTCAGGATCAACAAATAGTAAAGACACAGTCTTTGGTCTCCCCAACCAACAGCTCCGTCTTTCATGGGTTCTCAATCTGTCAGCCACATGGCAGCCAAGTCTCTCTCCAAGTTTTAGTCTCTCAGTTGCGTGGTCCCTAGGCTTGGGTCAGGAAGCCAGCCCACTTGTCACCCTGTCCCACAGTTGCATAGTGTTGGGCCAGATAAGGAAAAAGTTATCCCATAATCCCCACGCCGCTGTCTGTGATGCATCTGGTCTCAGCGGCCTCCGCCACTTCAGACAGAGATCTTGAACATGGTCTTCCAAGGTCCTCCCGGGTTCTATCTTCTCTGCTGCTGCTTCAATGATGACTCATCAGAGATGGCTCACTCCTCTTACAGTCAGGGAACTGGTAACGAAAACTGATCAATCCTCTCTCTCAGTGTTCCCCAAGTCCTTATTTGCATAGATCCACCCCATCATTTGGTGGGACTTACAGAGACTTAAGAAAGTCCACTCTACCACAATTATTGTAATAAGAAACCAATCCTTACAAAGTCATTATCTACATTAAAGCAATATTGATCCAGTCTATAGTACTTATTGTCTTTTGCTCAGAGTTGTCCTTTCTAGCAGTCCCTTAGGCTGTTGAATACTTTAAAAAGTTGACACCATTTTTTAAAAAAAATAATCATTTTATTAGGGGCTCATACAACTCATCACCATCTGTACATACGTCATCTATGTCCAGCACTTTAGTACATATGTTGACTTCATCTTTCTTACGACACCCGCTTTCCACTTGAGCCCCTGGTGTCAGCCTTTAGAAGCTCTACTGCCTCCCACATGATGTAATTAATAGACTCTATCCTCATTATTGTTTTAATTCTGATTTGTTAATAGTAACATAGTGTTCATTATTTCAGTGGAAGGGTGAAGGGGCAGAAGTAAGGTTCTAATTGTTCAGTCAATGTTTTCATTCATTCTCAGAGGTGGTTAAAGCCAAGAATGAAAGCACATACTTATCCCTGTAAGTGAAATGCGTTCACAGAGCCAAGGCAAACCTGTTTCCAACTTGACTTAAAGGGAGGTTCCATTGACATCATGTGCAACAGCTTGCTGACTGGCATTTTACTGGTACACAACTGTACCAGTTATGTTATATACCTCTGTCTCCTCCTCTAGAAATAGGGAGAATTGGGGAGGAGGGTGGGGGAAGGAAAGAAAGGAAGAAAATTAAGTGGGAACTAAAAGAAACATAGATGATTGCAGTTTTCTCTTTTGAGACGTTATCATTATTTTACCTAAATTGATATATAAATTACTAATTTTCCATATATAGCAAAATCCATCCTTAAAGAAGAAAGAATCATTTGTTTTCCCTGAAATAATTAGATATGTTCCCTATTATATTCCATTTTATTCTGATTTAGGTATCTAGTTATTTGAGGGATAAAATTCAGATCTATAACATAAATCTGTCTGAAACAACCTGGAAAATGAATATTTCTCTCTAATCAGGCAGCTCAGTGGTTTCCTGTACTATAAAATAGTTTTAGAGATCTGTAAAATTTAAACTAGATCCAAATTGTTCGCAGTCCTTCATTTTAATTTTCATTTATTTTAAAAGCATTTCCAAACATCCCTAAATCACAATCAATCATCTTTAGAGTTATAAAAGTATTTATTATTTCATCTGCTATTTTTGAGCTTTAGAGAGACCTGATGAATTATTTTTGGTCCATTGAAAATTCCTGTAAAGATAATTAGTAAAAAAAAAAAAAAGTAATGAGTGCCTGTGTGTTTCTAGAGGAAAAAGCTGCTTTATCACGGCATCTGTCTCTGCAGGTATCTTTTCAGTCCTCAGTTTGGCCTCCGAGTGCACAACTCTTGCCGCTGAGCTCCCCAAAGTGTCGTATGTGAAGGCGCTTGATGTCTGGCTCATCGCATGTCTTCTCTTCGGATTTGCGTCACTGGTCGAGTATGCCGTTGTCCAGGTGATGCTGAATAACCCTAAGAGAGTCGAAGCCGAAAAAGCCAGGATTGCTAAAGCTGAGCAAGCGGAGGGGAAAAGTATAAACGCAGCTAAAAAGAACACTGTGAACGGCACGGGGACTCCTGTTCATATGAGCGCTTTGCAGGTAAGAATTCAAATGGCCAATGGTGGCATTGCCTCAGGCCTTGATAGAAGTGGTATATATGCTTCTAGCCCTTCCCCATATTACTCTATCAATTATGGTCTCTATCAAAAATGAAAAAGAAGTGAGCACCGCATATTTTGGAAATGGGATAGAATACGTGAAATGCACTTAGCTCAGCTATTTCTTCAGAAAAAAAGGAAAACACAACAGCTAGTACATTTCCAGAGGATTTTCTACTGTGTTTGCACGCACAGCTCGACTAGAGTGGCCAGCTTTGACTATGGTGATGTTGCCAAACAGCCTATCTTCCTTTTCTTTCGCATCTGACAAGTCTTTGTGACAGGATAGAAGACTCCTGGGGCAGTAGTGTTTCCTGCAAACGCGGAGAATGTGGGAGAGCCTGTGCGCTTCGTTAAAGTACCCACCTCTTGCTCGCCAGCACAGAGAGCTGCACATGAATGAAGTCACACGTAAGGCAGACGTTCATTTATTAGATACCCGCGTGAGAAGGAGATTAGACCTATAGTTAGAACTCAGTCCATCGTGTATGGGGGTGACTGGTGAGTGGTCTTGCCATTTTCACATGGTTATAAGAACAGTGGGCCGTGCCTTTAGACCTAATTTATGATGAATTGTGGACCAAGAGGCTGCTTGATGAATTCAGATAGCTGTTCATTTACCCCAAGAAAGCCCCTGATGGATGCCCTCTTGCTTGAAAATCCAGTAAAGCAGAGTATCATTTTTATTGTGTCCATGGTAAGTATCACAAGAGACCAGGAGGTCCATACCATAATATAATCGTGCACATGTTGCCTCGTCTGCTTAGATCCTTGTCCCACACTACTCTTATCAGTGCATGAGCTATCACTACTCACTTTCCAAGAGTGCTATGCAAAAGTACCACCCGTGGATTTTAAATAGAGAGCACACAGACTCTGCTTATATGGTGATGTCTAGGAATTTCTTTT